AAAAAAAAAAAAAAAAAAAAAATATATATATATATATATATATATATATATCTGTAAAAAGCACAACATATACTGAAACACATATACAATACACATACCATGGGCTTTACAAGTTAAGCCTTATCATTTTCTCTCACAAAGGAAATTCAAATACAAGTGTGGGCCTAAGCTTTGGGCTACAGTTTTATTATAAAAATTCTTAGCGGGCTTCCCTGGTGGCGCAGTGGTTCAGAGTCCGCCTGCCGATGCAGGGGACACGGGTTCGTGCCCCGGTCCGGGAAGATCCCACATGCCGCGGAGCGGCTGGGCCCGTGAGCCATGGCCGCTGAGCCTGCGCTCCGCAACGGGAGAGGCCACAGCAGTGAGAGGCCCGCGTACCGCAAAAAAAAAAAATCTTAGCAATTATTGAAACCTTACAACCAAATATTACCATGCCTTAAAGAACTTTGTTTTATCCCAAAATGTTATATTAAATGATAAAGAGGGATTAAAAACTCTGTAAATTGTTTTTGTAATTTATTTACCCAGGAAAGCTCAGTTCAGATGCAGCATCTGGTTGTCATCGAGGTCCTGCTTTTTAACCAATTTTCCAGATGGTTGACTGAGGCACAAGGAGGTCAAGTGACTTGCCCAAGGTCACACAGTAAGTCAGTGGTTAGCCCCGCATTGGAACCCAGGATCCTCCTGGCTCCCAGTCCTTTGCTCTAACCAGAAGACCACACAGCCTCCCTATCCCTGCACATGCCAGAACAGAAAATATAAGAAGGAATGTTCCCGTGTTGGCATTTAAAAAAAAATGTTTTTAGTTTCTCTTATAGTTTTTGAGGAAAGGTGCAGAGGCCAAAACATTCCATCATTTCAACTTTTCCCAAACACCCATCTTTATTTTAATTGCATGCCTGTGTGTGTGTGTGGGGGTGAGAGATCAGTTGAAAAAACAAGGATTGAATGAAAAGATGAATTCAGATTTAAGTATTACAAATGTAAACTTATCTTTCACCAATGAAACTGAAAAATGCTATATCATTTTAAAAAGCTATTAAGATTTTATAATAATATTTATATACTTGTAATAATTAATCTCCATTTAGCACTCAGAATATTAGTTTCTGAATATTACTAATAACTGATACAGATCACCCTGAAATACTCCACTTGCATACATTAATTAATTTGGTAGTTTGGCTTCCTTGTGTCTTAATCCCACTATACAATTTTTCAGGAGCTAGGGCTTACACATACCTATATCTTGAATTATCCAATTTCAAGAAAGGGGCATTTTCTACCAACAAAATCTGTCATAGCTCTAACAACAACAAAACTGATATTTTAATCAGGGCCAATGGTGATGGAAAAGTGGAAGAATTTTAAAACCAGACAAAATGTAGTATAAACAGTTTCTTTTTCCCTTATTACAAAGAATGCTTTTAATTAAATGTTCATGAGTTAAATGATCACCTACCTCTGAAACGTTTAAAGACAGTCCTACTTTGAAAAAAATAAGACTAGGCAAAAGAATTTAAGTCCTGGTTGGACCTAAATAAGATTCCATATTTTATTTGTATCAACATTTAGATACGAGGAAATTGGAGAGGCAGGTACAGCACATAACTGCAAATCACTATTGATAACTCTCCTCAAATAGCAGCAAATTCACCAGACACAGGAGACAGCTGAATATATATATATATGGATACTAACGATTATTTTAATTAAATTATACTAAACCCCTTCCAGTTATTCAGGAATCTGAGCATGTATTTGCAGTTTTAGAAGGAAACTACTTTTGCTAGTTATCAAATTTGCATTCGGACTCACGGGATTCAGAGATCACAGGAATTTCTGAGTCTACCTTGTCACCAACACAGATGATTCCCTAAAGCACTCTAACTCATTCAATATACTGTTCAAAAAGTTTTTCCTGTTTTAACTTTTTCAAAATACAACTAGATAAAACAAGTTTAAACTCCCAAATGTGTAGATTTTATAAAACTAGTTTAAAAGAGGGGTTTTAATTTGTAACATAACTGTGTGACTATGATTTGTCCCCTAGTAAAAATGAAAGCTCCAAGAGGGAAGGGCTTGTGTTGCTCACCACTGTTCCCTGGAACATTGGAGGTGCTGAATAGAAATCTTCAGAATAAATGAAGTCATGAGAGCAAAACCACTTGTATGCTTTTATAAAAGTTAGGTAAAATGAGCATAAATTATAATATACTTTTATGAAAAGAAAATACCATTTTCATTTGTGTGTCTGAAGCTTGCTTATATGGAAGATAAAATGGAAACTGACTACAGGACACATTTTGATCCTTTAGATTAAAAAAAAAAAATCACATTCTATTTACAAGGGAAAAATCTCCTAAATGTGGACATTAGGAAAAGCCTTTCACCATAGCTGAAACCACTCAATAATACAGGTACTATTAACAGTAGAAATTAAGTTTAGGATTTTCCACTAAGATAGTATGGGAGAAAGTATTCAAGACAATGAACACCCAGCTATTAAAGCTTTTAGGAGCCTTTTGTGGCATCTCAGCTCTTGATCAAAACTCAAACATTAACTCCTATACCTTAGAGGATGCAGCAAGACTGCTGAGCCTTGGTATCTCACTTCAGTTGACAGAAATAATGAAACTAATTTTCAAATTGTTTTAAATTCCCATCTAACCAGGAACACACTCCCATCTAACCAGGAACACACTGCATCTGCTGGCTCAGGACACACACAAGGAACTGAGTCCAGATCAGGAAAACCTGAGTGACTAAACCAACTGCAATTTCCAATTAGATTTCATGTAACATTTTCTTTCCATGGAAGATAAATTTGCTCTTGAAAACAGCAAAAGAGTTTAATTTGATCCTTTTTGTTAAAATTAGCTTTTATTTCTCTAAGCCATTAAATAGATCACAACACATGCATTATCTCAGAGACAGAAGGAAGTGAAAACATCATGCACACAGTGAAAAATTCCACATACCCCCAATCTCCCCCCAGTCCCAAAAGAAGTGAGGATACAGATGTACAAGTGAATAAATACATTTGATCTTTGTATCCTTTAAAGAACGTCTGTCTGGAGGTAAATAATTAGGAACTCTTAAACACTTTTGGGGCTTAAAAAAAAATTCACTTATTTTCCCCATTTAACACACAAATCTATATATATGCAGCCAACTGAAAATGGCTATCAAAATTAAGTATAAGCATAGTAATTTCATAGATCAGTGTGACAGACATTTCCACTATTTCTTAATTAAATTTACCTGACCAGTTGCTTTTTAGGGTCTAGTATGTTCAGTAACTTGTCTGCATACACCTTCTTAGAAGCAGTAAAAAGAATGATCTACAAATTCAGGGGAAAAGAAGTAATCATTATACATGATCTAAATATGGGTACTATATTGAATAAAATAAAAATACTTATATAATTAGCTTAAGTATATTTACCTCATACATCTGAGACATTCGTTCCAGGAATTCCCTGAAGAATGGTCTTAATCTCACGTAAACCTGAAAAAATACAAAGATAGGCTTCAGCAAACAAACATATAAAACAGGAACAACTTATTTATAAGATATGTTCTAACTTTGGATATAATTTAAAAGTTCATATGTTAAAGTAATACAAAAGTTTACTAAGTACCACTCAACCAAATATATTTCACATATACCAAAAGTTACTTAAAACAATCTTTTGGTAGGGTAATAATAATCGTTGGTGATCATTTCACTTTTTAATAGTTAAATAGCAGCATATAATATAATAGTACTTCATGGAATATAATTTTAATAAACATTTAAACTAAAAACGGCAGGTTTCCCTCTGAGATTTTGATCCACCAATCAGCTCCATCTTCCAGCCAGGTAGCATCCATCCAATTATTAGGCAGGCTGTATATCCACCTCTAGCTGACCTGTCTCAATGACCTTCCTCAATAATTACTCAGAATTTCTTCTTAACAATCACCTGCTAAGAGTACCTTTATTTTAAATTTCTATTAAGGTAAATAATGTTCAAGAAAGAGATGTCTGGATTGGTGGGTTTAAATAACTGGAATTTTTCAGAAATCAATCTTGTTCTATACTTACTGATTCAGATGTGGTATCTAAATTAGCACTACTGGGCTACTTGAGATTGAAAATATAACAGTCAAACACACCAGTTATCAAAATCAACTGACAATATCAGGAAAGACTACAGTACCCAAAGAACTGACTTAAATACATTATTTTCTTATTTCTGTCTTCTTTTTGCCTACATTTAATGTAGCTCTTGTAATATACTCAATATTCAAAAAGCACAGAAATATAAGCCATGAGCAACCACTAAAACTGATTTACAAAAGAATTTGACTCCTTTAAATTGTATTTATTTTGTGACAAAAATTTATAAAAAGAAAAGTTTGTACTCTACTCAAAGGTGATTATTAACATCAAAAAACATGAACAACAAATACTTATAGAATGCCTATGCACCAGATTCACTTGATTCAGATTTTTTTTAAAAAGCTGTGGTGGCAACAAATTCAAAATTTAGGCTTCATGGAATTTAATTTTGTTGTCAATACACATCTAAACAAAAATGCCCTTATGATAAAAATCTAGTTCTAGGAATGTTTTAGGGCAGAACAGGGAAATCAGGCAAAGGATTTTAGGAGGTAGGGACTATGTACTACCAGTCTTTTTAAGTTCTGAAGCCCAAAGGGCGTAAGACAATGCCAAATATATAGTAAGTACATGATAAAAATCTGTTAAGTAAATTAAATATAACTGCCTGAACTTAAGCAATATAAACAAAATAGAGAAAGAGAGGCAAGACTACATACTACACAGGGAAACTACTGAATTTCCTTAAGAACCGATCACTTGTGGAAGACCAATTTCAAACATTAATATGCTAATAATATCACTCTATCCCTGCCTACAGGCTAGAATAATAAAGGTTTACTCATTTTTAAGCCTATTAGGCAGTTTATCTCAGTATCTTGACTAATCAAAAACCAAGTAAGCCACACACCCCCACCCCTAGCAAATAAATATGACAAAATCCTTAGTATCCAATCCCTATCACTTAGGATGAGGTACAAAATTTTTAACTAGAGTTGTGCTTCTAATTAATTTTAACATTTACATTGTGAAATATTTGGTATAGTTTGGTTTAGTTTTCAACACACCTTATTTGTTTGGTAATCCAAGTAACTGATAGATTTAGATATATTACTACCTTAACTGACAAAAACCCACAATTCGGTCAATACTTTTTTTCAATTACCTTATCTCATGGAGGATGATAAACCATGAACCATCAGAACCTTCTGTTTATTGCTAAGAAGGCTTATCAGTTAAATGCATTTAATAACCAAAAATACTTCATTTTTGCATATGTATAAATGTTTTCATTTGCTTTCAATATCCCTGCTATCACTTGCTCCATATTGTAAAGTAAAATAAGCAGGGCCTCTACAATTTGGGATTTGTCTCCTTTGAACACTAAAACACTTCCACTATAAAGGAATACTTCTATTTAAACAGTATTATCTAAGCATAATAAGTGGAGCACTGTACAAATGTGACATTTTCCAACTTCTTACACAGTGACTTCCAGATTATGTCAAAACTATACTACTGGGCTTCCCTGGTGGCGCAGTGCTTGGGGGTCCGCCTGCCGATGCAGGAGACGCGGGTTCGTGCCCCGTTTCGGGAAGGTCTCGCGTGCCGCGGAGCGGCTGGGCCCGTGAGCCATGGCCGCTGAGCCTGCGTGTCCGGAGACTGTGCTCCGCAAATGGGAGAGGCCACAACAGTGAGAGGCCCGCATAACGCAAGGAAAAAAAAAAAAAAAAAACTATACTACTACTTTGACTATACTTAAATATAAAACACATCTTAAAATTTGATATTACTTTCATAATGTACCTGTTCACTGGGGATGAAAGGTGGCACTGAGATAGAGGAATATAATGCTAGAGTGTTTCCTTACCATGAGAATAGAATAACTGTTGACTGTAAATGTTCCTATTCTCAAAACAGATTCACCATTTGAAACACAGGAAGGTGTTTCAGGATTAAAAGACACAGGCAGAAACTGAGATGGTTAGCGGGGGAGGGGGGGGGGACAAGGAATGTAGAAAGGTACAAAGTAACAGCAAGCCAGGATGTGGTTGGGACCACAGGAGGTTCTGCCATGTGCTGAAAAGGTAAAATCTCAGAAAGAAAAATAGAAATAGAGACATAGGGCTTCCCTGGTGATGCAGTGGTTAAGAATCTGCCTGCCAATGCAGGGGACATGGGTTCAAGCCCTGGTCCGAGAAGATCACACATGCTGTGGAGCAACTAAGCCCGCGTGCCACAACTACTGAGCTTGTGCTCTAGAGCCTGTATGCCACAACTACTGAGCCCGCATGCTACAGCTACTGAAGCCCGCGTGCCTAGAGCGCATGCTCCACAACGAGAAGCCACCACTATGAGAAGCCCATGCACCGCAACAAAGAGTAGCCCCCACTCGCTGCAACTAGAGAAAGCCTGCGTGCAGCAACAAAGACACAACACAGCCAAAATAAATAAATAGATAAATAAATAAAATAAAAAATTTATAATAAAAAAAGAAATAGAGACATAAGGCCAACAAGGTCTAACTCATTTGGATGGATATATTAAAGCAGAAATATATAGAAGTTAAGAAGCACTAAGCACTGTCCAGTAGGAAACAAGTAAGAACAATTTCAAAGTATGTATAATACAGTGAGACTACGATCACTTATTGTATTAGGTCAGAGATACACAAACATACAGATACACACATAGACATGCTTCCAAATGCTTCAAAATATATTCCACAGATGCTCTTAACTCCATTTTTCTTCTCCTAACCTTCTTGTAACAAAGATTCCTGTCCCAAGCTGCCTACTTCCTATTTTCTACATTCTTCTACTACTTAGTACTTCAGAAACCATCCTTCTTCAAACCTGCAATTCTTCAAAATCATGTAGTCTCTCAAATGTAAGCCTAGGCCATAAGTTTCACTTCAGGCTGGCATACATATATTCCTCCAAATATACAGCAATTATTCTATCTACACAACAAATAGCTTTAATCTATCACTAAACCAAATATATTTTGAAAAAGTCAATTTTAAAATAATGCATAATACTATAATAATGAACAACTGTTATACAAAAATACCATACCCAAAACATGTCTTTTATAAGACTGCCTACTACCCAAAGATGTTCATGCTATGAAATGTTTATTATGTAAAATTTTTGTACATTTCATGGTCGTGACTCTATTTTGTAACTGGAAGTTTGTACCTCTTAATCTCCCTCACTTACTTCATTATATGTTCATGATGTAAACTTTTAAGACAAAATCTACTAGAATGTCTGTAAAACAGTGATAATGGAACTAATCTTGTATAATATATTGTGGGCTGATTTTACCAAAACTTAAATTTTATATAGAAAAATGATAAATATATTATAGAAAAATAACATTACATTAACAGTACACTAACACTACTTGATTTGAACAATATCTGACAGCCAGCCTGTACTTTCTTTAGTACAAGAGGATGTCCTATAACTGTGCATGTAAGATGATCCTAACAGGCAATAAATGGTTAATGGAACTAGATTTAATAAAAATAGTCATTAAAATAGCAAGCCAGTTATAAATTAATTATAAATATTTTCTGACAGTCTGCCTAAATTCAAATTCATGTCTAAGTATGCAATGTCAAGTTATATACACTAATTTCTGACTATTAGTTTACCAAACCATTATCTAAGTTATCTAGGTAACTTTATGAGCACGACCAAAAAAAGGGGGTAGGGGGAGAAAACATCCAAAAGATAAGCAATTTCAAATTGTGGGCAATTGAAAAAAAAATTTCTTACATGTGGATCTTTTTAGGAAAAATATTTCTAAATAGTTTTAAGCACAGATAATATGACCCTAACATATTCAAAAAGAAGTATCTTTAATAGTTTTTCCATGAAATCCTTTGAACTTATTGCTATACTGTTGCAGGAAGGAAAACAAAAAGATAAATTTGGTGGTATTCACCTACTTAAGAGTAGGCACCTTTAAATAAAAAGATGATTGGTGGATGCTACCTATTTAATCAGCAGTAATAAGTTAAAACAGTAGAAAACTAACAACACTGAACAATGTGAAGAAGAGATGCTACAGGTATTAGCAGATACCACAGGTATACAAGGGGCTCTACCATTTTTTTTAACCCTTCTGCACACTTCAGTTTCTTTATCTATAAAATGGGTATAATAACAGTACCTATATAGAGTTGTTTATTAAATAAGTTAATACATATAAAGCACCTAGAACAGTACCAGCACACTGAGACTCCTAATAGCTATTATTACTATCCACTTTATTATTTAAAAGTAATCAGCCATAAGGAGAATAGCTGGAATGAGTAGGATTTTATGCGGGCAGAACTGGGCAACCTCAACTCAAAGAGAAAGCCATATCTATACTTTTAGAAGACGTAAAGT